GGCATATGAAAAAATAGCGGACTATGTTGTTTTGGACTTGTATCGTGGATTGGTATTGAATATTAAATAACAGGGCTTTGAGAGTAGAATATGACAAGCTAAGCGGTGTCATTCCATATTAAATAGGATGAGCGCCACGACGCAGAGGCGTGCGTTTTAATAATTCCCTTCCCTATGTGGAGCAAGGGCCTAAAGAATAGAATGCGACAATCTAATTAGATTACTTGTATGGGGACTAGACTAAAAAGTTGTATTATTGTTTCAATTTATTTGGATGAAAGAAATAAACCCTAAGATCAAAAGATGATTACTAAGCAACTAAGACTAGGCTCGTCTTTTTTTTTTTTTTTTTAGCATAGTCTTGTCGCTTTAAGGAAGTCACCTTTTTTATTCATATTATATAGTCCGGATGATAAAAAGTTGAAAATAATTTATAGAAAAAATTTTGTTTTGCATAAAGTTTAACTAAGAGGTGGAAAATTAATTTTGTCAATAGTTGTGGGTTCAAATATTAAAAGCGGTAGATGGCCTTAGATAAGACTTCAGTCTAAGGATTTATTTCTCTGACTAAATTGATAACAACAATAATAATAATAGCAACTTTGGCTCAGTTTGGCTCATAAAATCAAAAACATAGTAACTTAAACAAAAATAATATAGTGAATGCCTTACGTTTTCAGATAAGAGCTATGATTCGTACATCCTTTAAACATAAAGATAGACGAATGAATAAATTTTGTGTTAATAGAGATGAAATATACAACCAAGTTGAAATTTAACTGTAGATTTAAGGAAACCAAGACTTGGTTATTTGTGTTCCCGACTGGCGCAACTTTCGGCACGAACGATGAACGAAAATATCTTCATGGAAATGGCGCACTAGTGTTGTCTTTCGAATGACGATCAATCTAACAATGGATCCACTTATGTTCAATCTTACCGAATAGGATACCATCTACTAACAAGCATAAGATGAAAGTTTAAATCGAATTTTGCTCACTATCGGGATGCATCTGACCCAAGACAATGTATTATTATTATAGAAGGGAAGATTTTGCTTGAGCCCGTAAATAAAAGTAGAAATAAAACACTTGGACATGATGCCAACAGACAGAAGGGTAAATGGTCATAAGCGATTTCGCTGTTTGGAACCGAGGTCTACGTTTACCTTTCTACCTACTTTTCTATGGTGGATAAAAGAAAAAGTTTTGAATAAGAATTTTTAAAGCTACACCTATTAGCATTGAGAGTGAGTATTAAAGGCATTTTTGTTCTTTTATCTTGAGTGTGAAGGAACTTTTCATTGCATTTTTAAACTTTTCCCCAATTCTCACTTTTGCATAGTCTAATGACCTTGAATGAAATTTTATTTTCAACGAACAAATGATTATCAACATAAACTTTTTTGCACACTTACATTTCCTTTTTCTTACACACAGATGAAAGCGAACACATGCATTTACATAAACAATAGGATCAGGAAGCGTGCATGAATGGATAAAATTGTATTTAAGAATGACCTTTTAATTCTAAACCAGAAAAACAAAAATCGCTTTTATATGTAAAAGAGAGAAGAAGAAAATATTTCAAATTCTTTAACAAAAAGTGTCTAAAGCAACAACACAAAAATACAAAAAACGGCCGGTATACTACGGTGCTATGAATCTAAAAAGCAAAAAAAAAAAAAAAAAATTATGTAAAAATGAAAACTCTTTAGTTCAAGTGGTCTCAATGAGTAAAAAAGAGAAGAATTTTAAATAATCAAGAAGGAAAATATATGCGTGTGTGTGTGTGTGTGTGTGTATGCGTGTACCTAGGCTTGAATTCACGATATTTTTGCAGTTTTATTCATTTACTTTTTTTTTTTATTTATTTTGGTTTTCCTCTTACAATTCATCATGTTTGGCAACTGCTGCGAATTATTTTTCTCATTTTTTTTTTTTGTTTTGAGAGAAAAGAAGGAAAACATGAAACTCAAGTTTGTAAATTTGGTACACAAACCAACTGAAACATCACTGCAAACATATCGTTTCGCTAAAGAACACGTAAAGAGAACTAAATAAATTTGTAGCCATATTAAGGGGGATATTGACGTTACCCTGCCTAAGGTAAATGCATAAAGGCTTTTAAATTAAAGGTGTTCCCCGTCGAACATTACTAGCAGTAGGATAAGATTATTTGAAAGTTATCTTCTCCTACTTACCTTTATAATGTCCATAAATGCTCATCGAAAATCTCTTAGAGTATATCCACTTTTCACTAGAACCTATAACACTTTCCTGTTTTTGGAAAACTTACGATCGCGAATATTAAGCGCAAAATTTAAAACTTCTTCTGTTGTTTTTTATATAAAACTAATTCAAATAAGTAAATACATTACAGAATTGACAAACGACCCACCAATAAATACCCTACAACGCGTCGCTTAATACATTAATTTTTATAATGATTTTTCAAAACTGGGGTTTTATATGGGAATTGGTCGAAAAAGTGGCCCTGTCCGAACCAATAGCGCTTGTCTTTAAATTAAAACATTTCAGTTCATCAAAACATCTCAAAAATTGCTTTCTTTGAGTTGAACATGAAAATATAGCGCGGACAGATAGACAGACCAGCTTAGATCGGTTCCGAAGTTGAGTCTGAACCACTTTCCGATTCAATTGGTATAATAAAAGGTGCATTTATATCAAGTCCTTCTGGGCTTTATATACATCAATTAATATACAATTGTACCGCAAGCACTGGAAAGCGTAATTATGTCTCCACAAAGAGGACGCAATTAGTTGAGACATATGCCTACAATAAGCAAAACTCCAAGTGCAATTTCTAACGTATTATATCTGGACCTGGTAGACACATTTTAAAGGGGCTTCTAAGAGCTCGCACGTTCGCTATTTGCGCTACTGCTCGACTTCAAGCAAAATACTTTACAATATCTTCCTATTGGCTTTAAAACTTTGCGAAATGCATTTCGTTTGCTTTTTCACATCCATTTAGCCATTCATACGTTTCCTACTTGCACCTAATACTTTTGGTCGTGGAACTGAGATAGAAAGTGGAAGATCTCCATATATATTCTTGATTGACAATTGGCTACAAGTCAGTTTAAAACTTGACTATGGACCTTTTAAAAGTCTCTCAATACTTAATAGAAATCTGTACCAAATCGCAAAACTCGCCGTTTGAGCGCGCCTTTGAAAAGACCAAAAATGATTCAGCAAAAAATCAGTCCCGGTTGTGAATTTGAAATGGTGAAGAAACGATATATCCGAACTGATTTTCGTAATTGTCTTATCAGAGTCTGCAACACAATGAGGTCTCTTTCGCTAAGCAACTGAATGTGGAATATATGTATTGATCAGAAAGTAACGAGAATTTCCAAATTGCGCGCAAGGTACTTTGTAAAAGGAGGATTTTTTTTCCACGGATTAAACGCTGACACCAATGTATGGAACAGTCACATGGGACATGGTGGCTATAGTGTTGAGTGAACATTATTGTCTCTTTCCGGGAGTTCTGAAAGAGTTTACTTTAAATTTTTTGATAAAAGTGAATTTAAAACCCCCCAATTATCGAAGGTAGTGAGAAAGTCCCTTATGTTGACGATATCAGGCTGTAAACATGATTTGATGAGAAGCATAATAATATTCTTGCCAAAAAATTATATGTTCATGAGTGATGGATAAAAAGGTCAAACATTGAAGATAGTGCTTAGTCAGGCCATTTTAGTATGTCGTTGAAGAGCGGATGTCTGTAGCGGTTTAATCTGAATGTCTGTAGGAAAACTTAATCTCACGATGTTCGTTGACACAATGGTTGTTTATGCTTGAACCGGCGCCCTCCAGAAAGTAAAACAATCCCTAGCAGGTAAGGGCTCTGTTACAATTGGATTATCAAGTCGATTTAATGTGTTTGGCCCTATACACCCATTCTGGGAAGTATTAAAGTCTACAATCACCTCTAATTATTTGCTTTAGGAGTGGCTGAAAATCACAGTCGCCACGATATTCCCCGCAGGTCTGTACCCGGCAATCAAGACCTATCACGACGACCAAACTCCCTCTCAGAGGAGTTCATATACATCGAGATAGATAGTAAGCGGGCTCCTGGCACACGTGAATCTTAAATCTAAATTATAAAGCCTTCAGCGTTACTTTAGACGAACGCGACTACACTCGTCCTTGGATTTACCACATAACCTCGGTTAGGCAAATAGAAACCATCCTTTCTTAAACTAAGTATGCGCTGGCGGATACAATTGACAAGGGCTGCTCTGTGCCCCTGAGTACTACTACTTCAGAGTACTTTACAACACAACTGTCTGTTGTAAACGTTCTCCCGGCCGTAAAACCTATCGACTTCAAATTTGGCAAAAGCATAGAAAGTTCTTGCAGGCAGGTTGGTACTGCAAGCTGAACAAATCGGTCGAAAGACACGTCTACAATGGTACGTAAACTGAGAACACCTCGGTTTTTCGAAGGGAATAAAATATTGGCTTACACGTTACTCACAAACTACAAGAGATAAATCTACAGAAATTTAAAAGTTTAGTCTATGGGCGATATTGCGGTACCTTTATAAAAATGGTAAAAATTGACCACGTCTACCCAATGCGTTCTGTCCCGGTCTCAAAAATGAAGATATCGCCTGCAAGCTTCCAAGAGAATTGGAAAATGATCCAAACATTTCAAAGGACACTCCTAAAACGCTAACACGCCTATATAACGACAGCAGTGAATGCTTTTCCTTTCCCTCCATCTTGCTCCTTGCTTATAAACTATCACATATACATGATATAAGTTTCCTCAAAATTATTCTACAGAAATAGGATAACCGTCATGGGTATAAAAAATTGCTAACAAATTTTCAATATTTAATAAAAACAAATAATGATTTTATGTTATTTATGCCTAATTAGCTTTTATTTAAAAAACGAACAAATGAAGGAAATGTTTTTTCTGAACAATTTACGCTTACGTTTTCTATGTAGATATTTTCTCTTTTTTTTTTTTTGCTAACTTTATTATTTAGCTATACACGATTACAATAATGAACAACTTTTCATAAAATATTGTGCTTTCATGTTCTTTTTTGTCTTAATGTTTATCTAAAAAATGTTATATGAAATATGAATTTGTGTAACTTGCGTAGTTAAAGATTTTTTTGAACACGAAGCGTTTTTCACATGTTATGAGGTATTTGCAACTATCCTGAATTCCGTTTACGGCACAAGGTCAAAAAAAAAAAACCGGTAAAAAATATATTATATACAAATACAATTTCCAAAATTTTTACTTAACATATATATGCATGTATATAAAGGTGTTGATCATAAAATCTGTTGTAACTGTAGTTTCTAATGTTTGAACATTCAATGAAGTAAAGTAAAATATCTTTTTATTGATTTAACTCAATTGTTTAGTAGGCATGGTTGGCTACAAATAAGCCAGCATCCGCTCCAACACCGACCACACTACCGGCTACGTACTTACCAACTGCAGCTTGACTGTCAGCCTAAAAGAGAAATATTTAGGAAAAGAATTAGTTTTAAAACTTTTTTTTTTTGTATAGTTTTCATACTCTATAGCTTATGCTATTCTATAAGTAATTCTATTTCACTATTATTTTATATTTTAACCATATATTATAATTAAACCTAATGTATATAATAAATCATTTATAATAAACGCTAAACGATAAAAGATATCAACATGAATTTTTTTTATTTTTGATATGACTTGATATTATTATGCCCTACATCACTTGTGGTGCCGGATATATTAAGGTTGTGTGAACGTATTTCACACCCACAAGGGCTTACAATAGACCCTTGCGGGAGATGCTGATCGATTTAGAATCATTTTCTGAATCTGAACCTGTCCGCCGATCCGTCCGCCTGATGTCTGTCCAGATGGCAACTTTGGAGATATTTTGATGAAATTTGAAAGACCTATACATTTTAGGCCCAAGGACGAAATCTTTTGAAAATGGTTCGGATTGGACCACTTCTTCAACCAATTCCCATATAACATCTCATTTTAAGAAGTCGTTATATCAACAACTGCATTAAGCGAAGTGGTGTAGGGTGTTTAATTTTGGACCGTGTCCTACTATAGTGCTTCTTCTTACTTAAAAGTGATGACCGCCTTTAGACTTCAATCCTCGAACATCAAGTTTTGCCACTTTTTTACATAAATCTGTTCTTATTTCATCGATAACACGAACAATTTTGATGATTAAGAGGTCATTGAGGGTTCTTGGCTTATTGAAGTAAACCAATGCTTCAACATAGTCTTACAGTTCAGTGGACATACATGCCTTCAGCTCATCGCTCTGCGCCTCAACTAGGCATTTCCATTCAGCTTTTCTCGCAACAAACTGACTTTGTCACGAAATGTATGGCATGTTGCATCATGATATGCAGCCACACGTCGTTTTTGCCACAAAAAATGAATTAAGTTTCTCTAGTGTTCTCCATTGACGGTAACTTCAATCTCGTTTTCATGTTCAAAAATAACATTTTCAACCCACAAACCACATCCAAAAGTCATCTTTATACACGTAAAATTCCGGTGCGCACATCACATATGTTTTCTTTAACCCAATGGGCCCAAAGGGGCAATAATTCTTATTCACGAAACATTCAACCAAATATAAACTTCATTCCACTTACGGGCAACATAACTGTTGTAAGCTATAAGAATGTGTGTACGCTGTGTGCGTGTGTTAAAAACACTTCAAAAAATGTGATCCAAATGGATGACCCTATATCTTAAATTATTATTTGTAATAGGCTTAAAATCCTGGTAGCTGACTTTTTTTTTAGCTTATAATTGCTATTGTAAGTTAATTATTAAAATAAGTAAATGAAATTTTAATTATATAACAATACATATAATTCATTTTCATTACCTTTACATGCAAAATTGTTCAAGTGTGACTATAGTGTGTAAAAGAATATCAATTTTATATTCAAAAGCTTCCACTTTTCGACGACATCTTCTTGACTGAAATTATATTTTTCAACCACAACTTGGCCAAAATTGCTGATGATTAATTTTAGATTCTTTTAAGCTAATTTATCTGCATCTAATGCAATATTATGAGGCTATTAATAAAAAATATCTAAAATAGAAAGGATGCATTTCTCAAAACCTATGCATTTAAACGAAGATGTATAAAATGGGGAACGGATTCGAAAGCACGAATTTTTAAAGATTTTTGAATTCCAATAACATTCTCATCTATCAGTAAGTTTTGAAATATTTTGATGAAATTTGACACTGACATGGTTCAGCCCAGGAAAAAATCCCGATTGAAGATGAACTCGATCGGGCAATTTACATTCCTTATTTTGAAACAATTTACTAAGAAAAAAATTTTTGCAATTCACAAATTTCCCAACAAAAATTGCTGAGTAATACTATTTCGATATACTAAATTGATGCGAGAAATTTGGATAGGATGGGTTGATGTTTCGAACCCTTTGTACAAAGTTAAACCTTTCGTTAGGGTAACGGTCTAATGTTTCATTTTTTACTGTAAGGACTGCGTATAAATTTAAATAAAAGTCCGCTTTAGCAGGCGTGGTTTAATTGGTCTGACCAGAGAGTTCAATTTCAAGTACTTTACGGCGAAAATAAGTAGAGGTCTTTGGCAAGAACATGAATTTTGTTAAATTTGGTTCGCTTGAATCAAAATTCAATATAAAGGCTGATGATCTATGGAGATAAGATGCAATTTTTAATAATTTATCTCTAAACTAAATAAAGAATTGTATTAGATAAGGTGGTCTAGGGTATTTCATGATTAGGCTTGCACGATTGTGTTATTTTGACTTGTTTAAGCTTAGTTTAGACCTGGCATAGGCGACGGCTGTGTTCAAAATAGTAATGCTGCAAGTCGATTGTAGCTCTCTTCACCACCGGTGCAGCTGTGCAGGTATCAAATTTGAAATCCGTTTAAATATTTTTCTGTCTATAAAATGAGCCCCACTGGGCATTGAGCGGATCTTCCTTACAACAAAATATCTTCCGAAGCAATTTTAAATTTTTATAGATCTAGGATTTCAATTCGATTCTCTTAAAAAAAAAATAACGCCTAAATAGTTGATTTATTAAAAATAGTGAGCACTTACATGATTTGGTAAAAAGCGGTTAAAGCTAAAATTCTCAATGAAAACATGCTACACCTTGTAAACACGAATTCCATTAAATATTTTCAAATGAAAACTTTTCACAACAACCTCTAAAATTCCGCCCTAAAATTATTGTAGATAATAAGCATTAAAAATTCAAATCATTTGAGGATTTCAGGAAATTTCTATTTCTTTTTTTGTTAATATGATTTTATACTTAAAAATTTTAAATTAACCCTTAATCGTCCACTACCGCCTCATAAACGCCACTATAGTTCAACTTACTAGGCTTAATGGCGGTAAGCTGTTTTCTGTTTGAACTCGGCGGTAAGCAAATTTAGGAAAATTCCGGACTATTAAGAGTTAACGTGAGTTTACTTATAAAAACTAAAACAGTAAACAGGAATGCTGTATAAGTCTTAAATTTTCTGAGCAATTTTGCATAATTCTTCAAGACCTTTTTGTAAACTTTCTTAAAATTTTTTTTCTTTCTTTTTTTTTTTTATGTTTGTGTTTGTTGTTTATAAGCGATTTTGTTTCTCGTTTTTTTAGTATTTGTGTGAGGCAACAAACAAACTGGTATTGGCAGCATATGACGGTATTGAGCCAGCAACATATTTGCCTTGACATGCAAGTGCATTGGCCTGCATTAGTTGAAGAAAGATAGAAAATGAGAAATATCGATTATATATAATAAAAAAAAAAAAAAAAACATTTTGTTAATAAAATTAAAATAAAAATTTAAAAATAAAAGATCAAAAAAACGTGACAATGAACTTGGAAATGAAACATATGTTCTTTTACAAGAAATGTAATGGAAGCAGTAATAATAGCAAAAGTAAAATGAAACCATAAAGCAACAATGAAACCTAAAGTAAGGAAACAGTGTTTTAGCTGCAGGAGCCTGTTCCCGCTCAAGATAAGGAAACAGTGTTTTATGTTAATTTTTTTATAGCAATATAGATCAAGCTTAAGTGACGTATGCTACTGTATCCAATATGACCCATCTTAAAAAATTTTAAGTTTAATCACCATTTTGACACTAGATTGCCGGAGCGTGTTAACTTTATTGTTATCTGTATTTGGAAATATAATATGATTTTTTTAAAAAGACGTTGTGGTTTTCAATAAAATTGTGAACTATATACAAATACTAATACCCATCCCTTAGTTGCAAAAATCCATATGTACCCACTTTGACGGATGTCAGTCAAATTGGCTGATTAGATAAAGTATGGAAAGCATTTATTAAGAACAAACGGAACAGTCAATAAACAATTGTTTCCAACAACAGCCAAATGTTGCTTTACTCAACACAAGCCGAATAAACCAGATAACTTTGGCATGAAATTCGGCATCGAAACGCTTGAATGGTCAAGTTCAAGTGTCATGAAAAAGAAATGGAGCTAAAGCCGTCTGTGCTAAAGATATTGCAAAAAACCAACGGCGAAAATATTTTAAAAACAGAATGTGTATGTAAAAATATATGTTTTTGACTAAAGTTTCTGTTAAAATAATTTTTTTTTTTCAAACCGTCAATCTCGACGTTTGAGTAAAACCCCACTACGCGGCAATCTAGTGTTAAGTAAGAATGAAGAGATCGTTAATTGTAGGCGAGTTAGTAAGTAAGCTTTAAAATGTTTCACGACACCGGTTAGTGCATAATTTTTAAAGTTAATCATCGAATTGTTTGATATACGCCTTATATTATTTAAATATTCTCGCCCTTTTTTTTTCAATACTGTATGTATTTCTTTTCTGCAGACGTAGATCATATTTGTGAGCTAATTATGACTATGTCCATATATGGTAATTTTAGCGACTTTCGGAATATTAAGGGGAGAAAAGCAGAGACGCAGACAACTAAGACAGACTGCGTGACCAATTTGGACAATCGCCCTGGTTTTTGACCAAGCCTTATATAGCCTTTATACGGTCCCTCATTGTTAGCTGGTGCAGTAATTGAACTAAAATTTAATGTAATGGGTCTCCGCGGTTTTTTGCCACTAGATTGTCTCAAGTGAATATGTGCTTAGGAAGTGACATTTCAGCTTCAATTTTTTGCGGAGATAGTTTTCTAATTCTTTGCTCGAGTAAAAATTGATTGGTTATATTGATTCGAAAATGAGTAAAATATCCGAAGAAATACGCTATTTAATGCTTTCTATTATAAAGAAGATAAAAACGCTTCAAGAAACAAATTTTTTTTTTGAAAAGTACGGTAAGAATGGTATACATGGACGAAGGATCCAAGAGTAGTTTGCTTGATTCCGTTCTGGAAGTTTCGATGTCAAAGATGCACCTCACAGTCACTGAAAAAGGCAATGCTGGAGTAAGACCAGTACACAAGATGTGAGGAAATAGAGGAGGCAGTAAACATCGACTACATAGCAGTGTGGAATTATTTGAGAAGAATAGGCTGCAAAAAGAAGCTCAAAGGAAGACCAGAGAACCCCGGAGACCTTTCATATCACCCATTAATTTCACTTCGATGAGGAATGCAAATGAATGAAATGATAAAGAAAAATAAAAAAGAAACAAACGCTAAACAATTATCGAACGCAATGAAATGTTAAAAGCTTTGCTGATGATTATTTACATTAGAGGCGACTTGTTACTCGAATTTCCAGCCAAATTGACAAAGTAGGTTATATTCAATGTTATGAAACAATTTTAATATTTTAATATAAAGGTTATCGTCTAATGGTTTTACCATACACCGTTGCGGCACGCAACGACCTAAAGCAACACCACGTACAACCTAAATAAGCAAACAGATTAAGTATAATAATGTTATTAAAAATAATTACAAAAATATTTAATAGTGCGTTGAGTCAAGTGATCAATTTCTAGTGCCTTACAGTAGGTATGCTTGGGTTGTTTTCATGCGTTTATGTGTAAATTTAAATTAAATTTTAATTAAAAAAATTATCATAATACCCGAGTGCTGTGTGTATATACATATGGGAATGTATCGATAACTTTTACCATAATCTAGCTTAAAATCCGTAATGAGATAACAATAATCCCCCTATACATGTGTGTTTCACTTGCGTATGTTATAAATTCCAACAACAAAACTTAATTTCTACAAAATCCTCTGAAGTGTTAAGTTCAAAATCACTACTACTATCACTAACCTTAGCACGTTTAAGTAATTCTTTTTGTCCAGCTTCGACGCTCTCCTTTTTGCCGCCCCAAGCACGCAATACAGAAGCTTGCAAGGCTCGACCATAAGAAAAGGTCAAAGCCCACGGTTTCAGCAAAGAAACATTATTTATAGCACTCAAATGTACAGAGGCTTCTTCTTCCGATTGACCACCCGACAGAAAAGTGATACCTTGTAGAAAAGAGACATTCGATATTAATAATTTTAAAAAAGTAAAAAAGTGATTAAATTGTTTACCGGGCACAGCAGCGGGTACTGTGCGGCGTAATGCTTCTACAGTGGCTAAGGCCACATCTTCGGGTTTATATTGCTTTTTGCACGATTGTCCAGGCATTACCATGTTCGGCTTCAAAAGCGTACCTTCCAAAAAGACATGATGATCGTTCAAAGCTTTATAAACAGCTGCCAGAACGGTCTCCGTGACTTTTTGGGTACGCTCCAAATCATGATCACCATCGGGTAATACTTCTGGTTCTACAATCGGCACGATGCCCTGCGATTGGCAAATAGAAGCGTAACGAGCTAATACATTAGCATTCTCCATAATGGCTTGATAGGAGGGTGTATTCTTGCCAATCTTCAAAACACAACGCCATTTAGCAAAATCGCAGCCATCTTTCTTGTATTGAAAGCAACGGCAAGCCAAGTCATCCAAGCCTTGAGTAGTACATTCATCCTCTGAACCCATCAATGGTACAACACCTTTGTCGACTTTAATGCCGGGTATAATGTTACGCTGCTTTAACAATTCAACGAATGGTGTACCGTCGTCGGTTTTCTGATATAAAGTTTCGTGGAATAAAATGACACCGGAAATGCTTTCTCCCAATGAAGGATCGCTAGTGAACAATAGCTGGCGATATTGACGGCGATTTTCTTCGGTATTTTCAACGCCAATATCCTTTAATCGTTTACCCATAGTCGAAACCGATTCGTCTGCAGCGAGAATACCTTTGCCGGGCGCCACAATAGCATTAGCAATACGTGCCAATTCGCATTGCAAGGCTTCATTGGGGTAACTGAAGTACGTGGTCATTGTGAGATTCGCGATTACCTAATAGTAATAGTAAAAATTGAGAACGTATCAATGAAATCCTTTTAGTAATAATTCACGGATATGTATTTTTCAAAAGCGAATATCAATTAACAGAACATTTGATAGAACGTTTAAAATAACATTTATGTAATATTGTGACGCAATTCCAGCTGTCGACATATAGTCCGGTTTCCTCATTTAAATGATTCTACAATTATTTTTAAGGAGTTTTTTCCTAATTCATGCTTCAGGCGATCGGCATTTTCAGGTTATTAGATGTGCTCCCAAATTCTTGCACATAAATCAAGATATGGGAGATGAATTGAAAAGAACGTTACGTAACTTTACATCATACAAATTATTGAGGAGTCACGTTCTTCAAACAAGGAAAGACTAGGAACGAAGCAAAACAAAAACGTGTAGAAGTTCTGCCTTTTTCTTTAGAGAGGCTCCTGTTAAAAAGGCTCAGTCCTTCGGTTTATTTAATATAGAACGTACACGTATTGGCGAAACGTTCAGTAGTCGTATATTCCACTCGAAAAGAGGTTTTAATTTCGAAGATGACTGAGGCTATTTTACACATCACAAAATGCCACTAAGTATATATATCCTTGGTCCAGCATCAAATTCTGAATCGAGATAAATACGTCTGTCTGGCCATCTGTTCTAAATGGAAGTTCTTGCAAGCGCGATGGCATACAAAACAGGTTCAATCGGTCGGAAGGTTATGCCTACTGCACCATATAAACTGGGAACACGAGACAAAGCTTTTATTTTGAAAATAGAAAAAAGCAGCCGCGTCTATTCTACATTAAAGAGCATGAAAATTTAGTTTTTATATTTTTTTGTGTTTTTTAGAACGACGGTGATGGCCACGACTGAATATAATTTTCTTACTTGTTTTTATGTGATTTTTGTTTTGAGTTCTTTTTTAGCAAACGCAAAGACCGAATTAAACAAGTGCTTACTGTATTCAATTTTTTTTTTTTTGTAATTTTAATGCAAAAATGCTAAGAAGCTTAACATGTGTGTATCTGAACTTTGATGCCTGTATATGCGAACATATTTAGATATATGTATGTTACAGAAATAGGTTTTTTGTGTAGACATAAACTATTTAGAGACATTTTGGTTTTTCTCTTCTACACAATGTTGAGAAACTAGCTTATCAACTAATATTCTTATGTGAATATGGAAACACTCATGACCGTATTTGCCAACATATGAGAGTAAGCGTATAAAAATTGCTAGCATATGAGAATAAGCGTTTATGAATGTTTATAATTCTCAATAATTGAAAATGTGTTTGTCTAAAAATTGCGTCCATCCGATTATAAGCATCCATTTGTTTATAATTCTCAAGAATTGAACATGTATTAGTTTCCTTGTCCATACCAAACTTATCCAACTTTCATGGACAGATTGGCAATAGAGCACTAAAACTCAAAAGACCGTTTAACCGGGCGGAGAAATGCAGCAAGGAATCCATAATCTCTAATGGTATGGGCCATGTAGAAACAGCCCAGAGAAATCCGAAATTAGAAGATTCGTGTTTATTACGACGACCGTTCAGTCTCAATGGTAGCTCGATTCTTATTATAGTTTAGTTTAACGACATCCCTCCAACTTCACTTCAAGTAACTCGACATTTTTTATTTGGGAACCACGAAAACGAAAAAAGTGTAATTATTACAATGCTTGGTTGATCATGGCGCTTGAATTTTTAGTTAAAAACTTTTACGCAATCATGGACAAAACGTATCTTTTTCCAGACTAATCGAATGGCGAGGGTTTTATGCATAAAATATTATCTTTTGTAAAGAGAAAAAAGAAAATTGCACAATATTTGACTTTGTTAGATTTGTACGGCGATTTTGAGGGCACCGGCATTTCGATTATTTCGACTTTTTTTCGTAGCTGATGAAAATTAAACAAGCCACGACAAATCTGCTGCCAGTCTTCACGCTTCCGTAAATGCTTTAAAACTACTCACTACCTGTGTTTTTGTCGGGAACGACTGGCCAGTGTATATGAAGTTTTATTTGAAAACAAGAGCAGCGGCTAAGGGTTAGTTCATTGTAATAATCGCTGAGGAAACCAGCCCGAGAGGAGGAGCTTTTTGTCGTTTATATAGATTGACAACATCAACTAGACCATAATCTTACAATAGATAACTTGCTTTGATATAAGGATATGTGTACTCATACATATTGAAATCCATTACATATATGTCCGCCTATATATATATCTAATAATAACACATATGAATTTTCTCGTTATATTCATCAGATTGATTTAAAAATTGATATATTTGGATTTAAGTTTTCACTCCTCAGTGCAAGATATACTTACATACATATAAATATATATATATTTCGGTCAAAGCAAGTTATGTGCTGAACGAATATGGTATCAATTTGTCTTGCCAATCTATATAAATTTGTTACATCAATTATTTAAACAGAAGGAAGGATAGGCGAACATAAATGAACCGTTAGAAGCGTTGACGAATGACCATAAATTTATTTTCCGCGGTATATAAAATGATATTTGAGTCCAATAATAACAACGTCAGGGATCTTGCATGAAATGATTATATCGCTATTCAATCTTATCAGGGTACATACTTTATTGGTCTACGTAGCCTGTTTCAAGCGTTGGCAAATGATTATTACTGTCTTACATAAAATATATTGAGACTACTAATAACACATATGCATATGTACATAAATTGTGTAGATCTTTTATTTCGCACTAATACCATTTCGCAAAACCCACGTCACTTATCTTTTACATTAGTACCCTCAAGTTGAGCAAAATCTGGCAACATTGTTGCTCATCAATTAGCATCACAACTAAGGGAGACACATAATTTTCTTTTCACTAAAAACGTCACTACGTATCTACAAGATGTATGAGTTCTTATTGTTGTTGCATAATATATATATGTATATATATATATGTATATATAGTATACGAATACTTTCACTCTTATTTAAATCCATTATTATGGACGACTTAAAATTGTTTATATTAAAAAAAAAAAAAGGAAAAAGCCGGCCCATGCGCTAAACGTACAGTTTCTTACGTATGCATAAATATTTGCAAATAAAATATTTTTATTTTATGTCTTTCAAATAAACAGTGAGAAGAAGCCTACAGCAAAAACGACGGCAGTATGTATTTTTTTTTTTTTTTTTGACATTGTAAAAGGTTAAATTGTTGAAGAGAAAGGTAGCGAAGTAATAGTATGAGAGAGTTTCAGAGTAAGTTTACATTGCATTTGACTCGATTGACCTTCGATAATATAGTGTAAGTGGGCACGCATAGTTAATAAAATGTAACGGAGCACATGGCACTTAAACAAATTGCACTTGAAAAAGTTAGGTAAAAACTTACTTTTCAATCACTTTTTTTTAAATAAAAAATTTCCAAAATATTTCAGGAATTATAAAAGTATCGTCTATGTACACCTTACTTGGACAACGCCTAAACTTGGAGTGTAAATGGACACAAATATTTTAACCACTTTTATGAAAAAAGAAACCGCTCGGTGAGACAAGAAAGTCTATCAAAAAAAAAAAAAAAAAAAAAATTTTTTATAAAGAAACCAAAAAGTATACCGACGAGAAAAGGCACTTAATGTGAACTAAACGAAAAAAAAAAAAAAAACAAAATATTCCAACATTAACTTTTATAAAGAGAGAGGACGACGAAGAGAAAAAGAAAAGTCACATATCTCTGCATAATTAAAGCAATGCGTTTATATATAAACACTCTTTTTTTATTTCATATTCCACGTTGGCATTTATGCATCTAGAGCGGAATATTATGAAAAATATATGCAAAACGCAACATGACAACGGCAAGTTTTGCAAATTATCAGAAACGAGCCCCCAATACGTTTATAATTATCGTAAGCTTATGAAGAGAGTGAGAGCCCTAAGAGAAACTAATGAAGTGGGAGAGAAGTAAGAAGAAAGAAACCGAGACAGAGAGAGAGAGCGAACTTAAGTCGAATCTTTAATACCCAACATCTTATGAATACTTTTGTTTAAATTTCTTAAGGAAGTCTTCAGTCTTAGGTGAAGTTAAATACAGGCGTCCCTCATATAACAATCTTAACTCGAGGCAATAGATCAAGAAAATATGCACGGTGTTATATAAGACTCATGGATTAATGCGTAAAGTTTATGATAGTTGAAACTGCATTCCATATAAATGGAGAAGGAAGTTAACCTTAAGTTTTTATAAAAACAAATTGAACACTGCGATCAAAAACAAAAGTGAAGAATGTATTGTAATAAGGAAAACCACTGTATTGCACCACTGTATATTCTAGATCATCCTATACTTATTCATATAACGATTTTTCAAGAGTAGGCTTTAAATGGGTAATGATCGAAAAAATGCTCCGAACCATCTTCAATGTCGTGCGTCCTTGGGAGCCAAAACACGCCAGTGTATCAAATATCATCAAAATATCTCTAAAAGAAAACAAAGTGGACAGACGGACGTACAAGCTTAAATCCATTCACAGTGTATAGTGAAAGGTCGGCCTATATCAACTCCTTTTGGGTGTTGCGTACATCCGTATAAATTTGCTGTACTCTTGCATTAAAATAGCAATGACGACTACAAAATTAATTTTCAAAAAAATTACAGTTAAGCTATTTGTTTTTCTCAAAGTTGTTTATTAACAATGAAATAAAAATAAAAGCAATAGGCGAAATGAAAAAAAATTCCAGACGAATACGTATTCGATTTTTTGAAATCGTGTTATATCAAAACCAAGGATCGAAATCGTGTTGTAAGGAGGAAGTCTGCACATAAGGGTTTACATAAAAATTAGAATAAAATATGACTTTTTTAACGATTGCATTATTTACTAGATAGTTTGGCGATAAGTTCAGTAATATGATAATGAAATAAACTTTGGTGCCCTTTTATGGATTGTCATAGCAGAGGTAGTTAGACGACCTTTCGAAGATTTTTATACCGCGAAAAGAAGACGGTATACTAGATTTGTTCCTCCGAAGAAATGCGAGGAAAATAATTTTACTTTTATCTGATCAGAGTGAGTTTCCCGAATCGTTTTAAAAATGTATCCGTGCGTTCGTCTGGAGACTACTTATGTATTATTGACAACCGCGCATTTAATTTGAAGAAGGGGGAAGTTATTCTTATTCATATGCTATATAAGCATCTAAAATTTGGCATAAGTATCTTGCATTGCCATTCAAATAAAGCGTAGACAATTAATTGGCGGGTAATTACGTGGTTTAGCAGCTGCTTCGCAAACTCGGCTGAATAGCAAAGCGAAAGCTTACTTTTTCATAATATGACAAGCGGCCTGGAATGTTTAATAACTCAAGGCCTAGCGGGAAACGGTGTCTTCAAGGTATAAAGTTTATAGTAATCAAGAATGAAAGGACCAGAGAGTTGGGAAGTTATTACTAAACACTAATGCATCAGAAGTGGAAACAAAAGATTTTATTGCATTATTTGGGCTCTAGTATATTACGTAATAACTCCTACGTCACATTTATATCACAGAAGTTTCCTAACACCACGTGGCGTCAAATATATGTTGCCAACTTAAAGGACCCTTTATTTTACTTTTTCAGAATACTTTAAATGCATGGACGTAAAGTCTATATCAATTGATGTCATATAATCGCCAAAAAAAAAAAAAAAATGTTGGTCTTTATTGAAGGTGTTCCCCAGGATATCCTGATAGCGAAGAGGTTAAGAATGTGATATTGAAATTTTGCAAAATTTCTTGGATGGACAAGTGAACATGACTGCAGTGCTTTAAAATTTCAATGTTACAAAACGACCCTTAGCTAAAAATACATATTTATGAGTTGAATGATAAGTAAGCGTACATTTGTCCTACGATATAAAAAAAAAAGTACTATATGCTTTGCATATCGTCTGGGTTTTTAAAATTTTTTTTTTTGGCAAAAGTACAGGTCATTAGAGATGCTAAAACAACAAGTCGACATAAGCAAAATCTGTTGGTAAAATAGTATTCGTTTTAAGCTATCGAAAAATTTCACGTTTCATTTTTTTTTTCTTTTTTGTAAAGAGAAAAGATAAAACCGGCATTTTTTCGCGAGGCGCCGGTTAAACGAACTCTCAGATAATTATAAATACACAAATTTTCATATTAGTTAGAAGCTCTTCACGAAAATTTGTATTTATTTACTTACTTTTTTTTTTTTTTTTATCAGTAATAAATATTCATAATAAGCACTTTAACCTTCAGGGTCTCATTATCTCTATAAAACGTAAAGCACATTCATAATTTAAAAACGAGAAACGCACACACTCATATATATATATATGTGTATATATATATATTCAGAATACTATAGTAAATTGCCTTCGATTACAAATTAAGAGCATCATGTTAGTTTAGCAAATACTAAGCGTCACTTAAAGTTGATTTTCCAAAGCGAGTATTTAATTGCAATTTAATGTTAAGCATTTACTCACCCAATAATTTTGTTTTTTATTTTATTCACAACAAATTTTGTTTAGCGATGTTTTTTCTGTTTTTTGTTTGTATTACTTTGCACTAGTATTTAGGTGGAAAATTTTTACTGCTTTGCTGGAGACGAACGAGTTGCGACTTTCTAAATAAAATCCAAAATAAAAGTAAAGATGTGGTTGCATACCGTAGGCCGAAAGAAAGCAAAAAAAAAAACGGAAAACAAATAAAATATGTTTTCGAGATATAGATAAGTAAACGTCAAAAAGGTTGTTTGAAGGTCACTTTTTTGGTGAATAGTCATCAATAAAGAGAGACTAAAGAACTAACAGCATGCTTAAAAATGAATAAATTCTTCCTACAACTGGGTAATGGTTGCTGTCCAAACTAAAATAATTGCTTTACTGTGAATATTAAAATTGGATTTATTACTTACTTCAGAAGGTGATGTTAAAAATAATTTCTTTAAATTTGATAGAAAATTTTTTATTTTATTTCTTTTGAAATCGGGTAAGTAAAGAAACTACAGAATATCAATGTAATTAATAAGAAAACACAGACTGGAAAAATAACGATAGTAAAAGTGCGTCTCCCATATATTGAGGGGTTGCAAAATTTTTGGGCATCGATTTCTACAGGTAAAATGTTAAATAAATGGGAAATACTAGATTACATAATTAAATTCGATAATTTTGACCTTTCTCTATATAAGATAACAATTTTCCATTTCATATTATTGACCTAGTCAGCTCCTTTTTCCAAATTTATTACTTTTATTCTTTATTTGAAGAAATCTGCTGGCGAAGCCCATCAAACACGGTCAGAGGCTTATGCTGATGCTGCTCCATCATATTGCAATAATCGCTTTTGGTTTCAATGGCTTAAAAGTGGCGGCACGAATTGACTGAAAATAGCATGTTTTGACACTTTTTACAAGAATTGCCCACGATACACTGTTGCAGCTCAAAAGGGTAGTTTGGACACACCTAGCGTACTCACCAGACATAGTGTCTCCTGATTACCACTTGTTCAGATCGGTGCAGAATGGCTTGGCTGGCACGCGGCACCGTAAAATTGAAGAAAGGCGAAATTGGGTCGGTGGGTGGATTGCTGCCAAACCAGTTATAGTTCCATCAACCAGAACAAGTTTTTTCGACATGATATTTCTATGTGGCGGATAGTATTGTAAAACGTTGTAAAAAATTATAAAAACTATATTTGATTAATATCTACATTGTACCAACTTTCCACAATAAATCCGTTTTTTCAAGTGAAAAAATGATCAAAAGTTTTGCCAATAAAATCATAGGTCGATGGAGACTATAGGTGGTATGGGATATAGAGTGTCCCAGGGCATACGACTAGCCTGTCCACTAAGTAAGTTTCGTTTATCCGCTTGCTTTCATAAGGGTTCTAGCACGTGTATTTCTTTATTGTAATCTATAACGTGCATGCACTCATGCATACATGGCTCAAAAATAATTTGATTACCTTAGACCGTGCGAAGCGCACAGGTAATGTATAACCAGAATACCTGCAAAATAGAAAAAAACTGAAAATGAAAATCTTACTTAGTTACGCGTATGTTAGTACTGACTTGTAATTTCTCTTCTCTTTCCTTCATCTTCGGCTAAGACGATGATTTTTCAATTTTTTCTGTTATTTATTCTTTTTTTATCGAAAAGCTTTTGGAGCTAAATGTCCCCTAATTAAAGTCTTGCGCGTAGCATCCATCTATTTTTCCGAAGCCGTACTCCAAGATGCAATCCATTCGTCCCAAGCTTCCTTGGCATTTATCAATTCCTTGGAATCAAAAACGCGCGCCTGTTACTCATTTGTCTTCAAGAATGCCACTATGCACTAATACAGCTACAATAACACGTACTTCTCACTGATGTGAAAGTGCCTTGGTGCCAATGTTGAAATAAATTTAAACTTTCCCTGTAATGATGCGATCGTAAGTGCTCCAAGTCGGACATCAATACCAATAAATTACTCTCCTTTATAAGCGACAATGTCTTCTGTGGACCGCTTTCATAATATTAAAGCTCTTGCACAAAACGTCCAGCTTCCTCTATAATACCCATCACAGCGCAAACATACATTTACAGTTAGTACAGTAGGTTAGTCCTTATGGATCAAAATTTGTAGACACTAAAAATTATAAAAACAAGTCGAAAACTTTGGCTTTGATAAGTGAAAGATTAAATCATTTTATTATTATTATTATTATTATTAAGTTCGCCAGAGAAATAAATTCTAAGACTAAACTCTTAAAAGCACTAAGATCTAAGGCTATTGGCTTTTATTAAAAACTCTACCGCATTTGAGATTCGAACCCACGACCATTGACTTGCAAGTCGAGATTCCTCGCCTTCGGCTACCCAGGCGGATTTAAATCATTTTAATGCGAGATATTGTTAGCGTTTCTTAGCCACATGTTGTGATAATAATTTTATTGTACCTCATCAGTATGAAAATGTTGATAAGGCGACTTATCTTTTTTATTTTATTTCTTTTTTACATATTTCGAAACAGGAAGCAGTAAGTCTCACCTAAACTATTAAAATCCCTTTTATTCATAAATTCTTAGGGCAAAAAAAAAAAAATACTGTGCACATTGCTGCTGGTAATTTCTTTGGATACTCATCCGTTTCGGTATCTTGTTCATTGGAAACTAATTTTCTATGTTGGCCGTTAAGGACCTTCGTTTTGTTCGCACCTCTAATGGTAGCACTATCGTCTATATCTGGATAGAAAGTGTCTTTAGTGTTGAATAAATTCGTTTCATTCATACATTTATCGTATTTATTGATACTTAGTTATATTGCTCTGAAGGGATATTATGTAAATTTCGATTTATGGCAACATCTTTCGCGATTTGCAATTATGGCGGCACCACACTTCTTTTTCTTATTTCTCAATTCGAAGTTCAAATACATTGCAACAAGTTGTAATTCTGGCTCGCTCATTCACTTCTCCTTCAATTTTTCAGAATTCGAAGATAGATTGTTCACTTCTCCTTTAATTTGCCAGAATTCAAAGATAGATTGTTCACTTCTCCTTTAATTTGCCAGAATTCGAGAATAGATTGTTCACTTCTTCTTTAATTCGTCAGAATTCAAACGTAGATTGTTCACTTCTCCTTTAATTTGCCAGAATTCGAAGATAGATTGTTCACTTCTCCTTTAATTCGTCAGAATTCGAGAATAGATTGTTCACTTCTCCTTCAGTTTTCCAGAATTCGAAGATAGATTGTTCACTTCTCCTTTAACTTGCCAGAATTCGAAGATAGATTGTTCACTTCTCCTTTAACTTGCCAGAATTCGAGAATAGATTGATTTAAATAATATTGCTGCGTTTCTTACTTTTTTTTTTCTTTTTTTTTTTTTAAGACAAAAAAAAGCACTAACCAAGAATCGCTTATTTGTAAACGCGTTCAATTTTACGGTCTTTCCCTATGTACATCTCCTTTCATTCTGTTCTCTTGCTCTATTTGGAGATAACCTTAACACACTCTACAATTTTATATTAACTATTACAAATACCGTCCGACGAATATTATTGACTTCTTTAAAAATTTATCATTTGTTGAGTCGTGTGGAAAGATATTTCGTTTCATTTTCTATATAAATATTGGACAAAAATAAATGTGTGTGAAATTTGAGTGTAAAACGCGGCGCTGATAATTGCAAATTATTTGATTACTGCGAAGTTTTCCTCTATTATGTCATAGGTTAGTGTTTTATCCACTTTGTTTTTTATTTATTTTTTTTATATTTAATATCTTTTGTACACAAGACTAGTTACGGTTAGTGATATAGTGATTGTAAATTTAAGATATCTCTATAAAGATATATATTGTATACATAGCACTCCTATCATGAAATAATAAAATTTTAAATATTTTATCCTTAATGAACTATTTAACAAATAAAATGTTAATATCAACACGCGCAAACCTTTAGGGCATCATGTTTTCACCCACCATTCAAGAGTAAGCATATTACTAATACTATATGACCTGAAAAGAACATTGCGAGTACATCTACTTAGTCCGTTCGTTTCGAATTTGCAAATATGAGTTTAAATAAAATAAATTCCTGAATTAAGAATCCAACCGGCCACAAATCCATATTTTCAGACGGAACTAGAATTTTAAAAGATGAGATAACTCTAGGTTGAGAAGGAGCCAATTTGAAAATACTAACGGGATTTAAATTGACAGAAGGGGCTTTCGCTGCCAGATAACTTTTTATGTTATCAACAGATGTATCTGGTACCAGTATTGACACAAATATTGCCTTTCTTGGAGGAACTGCCTTCAAGCATATGTCATCTGTACTAGGTGCAGCAGGGTTCACGGATGGGGAGTTATGAGTTGGGGAAAATATAGAAGGGGTAACCACAATTGCACGATCAGCTTGTGCGACTTGCCCAGTTTGGCGAGCGGCGTTCACACTCGAACAGCCAGGAGGAGAGGACGATTTACTATTATCATTATTAGTTATAGGCGATGACGCTTAAGAAGATTGAGTGCCATCAATGGGAGGAGATTCCTTGCCACTTTGGACCCAACTTTTTTTATATAGTTCGTTTTTAATTGTCGACATGTCCTCATTTTAAATCCAGCTTTAAGAATGTCTTGAGCTCACTCTTTTTCAATAGGCATATACTAAGAGATATTTTATTTGAAACATTGTTTAGTCGTTTGTAAGTATGTGTTAATCAATCCGAGACGTTTCCGTTTATCTGCTGATTGTACTCGACAATTTTAGAATATTTTCACACTAACCTTTAAATATATGCTCAGACATATTGAGAGGCGTTTTTACAGATGAAAAATTTCTTTCATAAGAAGTTTCAAAATTTTTTTATAAAATGACAATTTCAAATATCGTAGAGTTGCTACACACCAGGCATAGGGTTGACGCTAAGGAAGCACTAAATATAGGTGTTGTCAATCGTATGATGGCCACGGGCACCAATGTAGAACTTAATTTGTGGAAACAATCACAATGTAGAATTTAAGGTTTTGTGCTTTTCTTCTCTCATTCTAATCAAAGTGACGCGTATTCGTATAGATATCGTTTTTATTTGTTTCCTTTTTTCTTCTTTTTGCCTTTTAGGGCTTCGTCGTTAAAATTTAAAACTACTCCCGCAACGCCCGGCGACATTTTGGTCCATGAAAGCGATGTACTGACCTTTTTATTTTTTATAGCGCGCGGTTCCATTTAACTACAAAAGGATAATATCGTAATAGTTATATTCGGTAAGCGATTCGATTCATTGAATTGCCGATCATTCATTATGCATAGCATTATCTCTTTAAATATTTTGATTTTGATATACAGTTATTAATAACTTTAAGTGCATAAATGCAAGCAATAGTTACTGTAAGTGAAATTTGTTGAGCATAATTTTTGGTTTTAAAATTGGCTTAAGAGAAATTCAGCTGAGAAAGATAAGTGGTGGTTAAGTGCAAATTGTCGATAAGGTAGTCGTAAACTACTACCATCTGGTAGTCTTAGCAAAAACCGTGGTCGGCATTATCAACTTTATAGCAAAAGTACAAATCGGTGCAGTACTGTACTGCTTCCCAATTGAATAGAATAGAATAAACGATCATCAAAACGTTTTTCAAGCCGCAAAACTTCAATTTTTTGTATGGTGGGATCATACATGTCGTATGAAATTTCAAGCCCTTGCTTATCAATCACAAAAGTATATCGCGCAACCAAAAAGTATAGCATGCAACCAAAAAAGTATAGCGCGCAACCAAAAAGTATAGCGTGCAACCAAAAAAGTATAGCGTGCAACCAAAATAATAAATGTTTAATGAGAAAAGGAAAGAAAGAAACAGAGGAGATAAAGATAGACAACAAAAAGCAAAGCACACACAAACAATCAAGTTTTAGCAGGCAACAGAATACGCCCATTTGTTTGTTAATGTGCAAAGTTCCCTACTGTGGATTGTTTAAAATTAGCAACAACTATTAGCGAGCTATTCCCGTTTTTTTGACTTTTATATGGAGTTTGTAAGTTTGTATGTGTTTTATACATTTTATACATTTCATATATTTATATCGTTAAATAGGAATGAAGATTTGACTGAAACCGACCTGGAGGAAGTGTTAAATTCACCGCCCATTGAAGAAGAGGCTTCAACAAGAACTGAAAACGTGACATTTAATTTGAAAACTCTTAGTGAAGGGTTAAAAATGGCTTGGTGATTTCTTTATGAACATTGATCCGTCTATGGAACGAAGTGTTATTTTTAAGAGGGAAATTGCTAATACGACTGCTGCGTATCAGTCTGAATTGAAGGAGCTTCTAAAAACTGCCAAGCAAGAGAAAATTACAAAATTCTTCAAATCATTGCTTAAGCCTTAAGATAAATATTCAAAATGTTCAATTAAATTGATTTTTGTATATATTTGATTTTTTTTTATTTTGTCACCTAGGAACGTATCCCCTACAATCCCATATAAATTACCATTATTATCATTACCGCATTCACGGCATTTTTGTGGAATGTATACACCGCGAATAAGGAGCTTTTACTATATTTCCTTATTCTTCGGTGATGATGTATCTTCCATGTATTTTTGTACATTTTATCAAAAGTTCATATCTTCTTATATGAATCTTGTCTTGTCAACAGTTTGTGCGGGAGGAGGGTGATCGTCTGATAATCAGTAAAAATAAGACATGTGGGCACAAGCCAGATAGACATTTGTACGGGCGGACATGTTACACACGCAGTACATGTATATAATGTTTATGGCGCATTCCAGTATTTTTGCCCCTTCATTACCATTGCGTTTGTTTTAATTTCATGACGATTTCGAATTTAAGAATTTTTTGTCCTTTTTTTCTCTGTTTTAATACTATAAATATTTAATTAAAAAATAACGGCATAATACATAAATATTTACAATTTAATAATAAAAACTCTTACTCTTAGAAGAAAAATTAAGAAAATAAATTTCTTAATTGCCAAAGAACAATGTTCATTTAAAAACTAAATTAATAGTCACCGTAACCGTCATTTGTTATTAATTCATAAATACTTAACAGGGAGAAAAAAAAATACTGTGCACATTTCGATATACATTTGATTGTAAAAAAGGTAATGCTTCATAACGAAAAAAAAAAGTTACTTCATAAATTAGGCAAAATGGCAAAACTAAAACCAATTCATATGTTTACGGTACAAATTCAAATTCCTATGAAAAGAAAAGTATTACAATTATTATTTTCTATGTTTTCCTATTCTACGCTATATTAAGTACGTGAAAACAATGTTCAAAAAAGAAAAAAAAAAAACCAAAAAAGGCTCAAAACTTAACACTACTCTTATGCAAGTTTAATATTTAATATACAGCTAATCTAGCAAAAAAAGAAAAAAAATGAAAGACAATCTCGATATATGAAAATAAATAAGAGATAGTACAGAACAAATGTGGAGAGCGCAGCGATTTGTTACTAGGAATTCAACGGAACAAATGCTCCAATAGCTACAAATACTGGTAAAAGTAATGTAGAATCGTCCATCGAATATGGGTCCGGTTGTCTCTAACCACGTGGTGGCATTGGCGATTTATGCGCTGAAGGTATTTTTGGGAAGAACATATCTTCTGATTTTAAATCCATGTGAACTAAATCATTGGAATGTATACTTCATTCAAAGCACGTTTTCTGAAAAGAAACAAGGACACCGTTTAAAAACGGATATTTTTTCCTTTATTGCTCATACTTACTCGAACTATCCAATACTTTAATTAATTGCGTTAATTATCCTTGCCGCAGTAAATGCGAAACAGAAGGGAATTTGTTTGAGATGATTTGAATCAAATAAGTTAATCGATGCAACGAAAACAGGTTTCAATATGATGTAGAGTTGGCTACCGAAGACGATTCATCAAATGATAGTAGCGAACCATTAGTGAGCCATCAAACCTATGAGCCATCAAACCTATGAGACTATGCGTTACCACTTATATATTAAAGTTCTATAATAAAGGCGATAAACTTACTTTCTGGTGTAAATGGATTTACGTTAGCTGTCTGCGGTTGCACTACGTTGTCTAGAGCTCCGTTGTCCAATGGGAAGTCTTTCAATTTTCCTAGAATCTCTATAATTTCTCTCGACGATCTGGTTTTTTTCCTAATTCCAATTGACAAGTTGCAGAACGCCTTTTCTAGCGGATTTACCCTGAATGGCTTCCAGGTTTCGTCAGGGTAAGCTGACAACAGTTCGTCCATGACTACAATGAAATTCTTTATGGTCCGCCGGGTGTCGACGGAACCGGGTGCTAATCGGAAAACTTTTGGAAATACGCGTCCACCTCTTTTAGTTTATTTTGCCTTTCCGGCCAGTTCTGTGCGCTTATTGGCACCCAGCAGAAGACTTCGACGAATTTCGTTATATTCCTAATCAACTCGCATACTTTATTCGCCTTGGAGGTGTCAACGGGCAGCACCTTAGCATTAATTGCACCCTGGATGTACGACGCCACAAAAAAGCCGAAATGAATCGTACCTGCCAAACGGGGCGTTGTAAACCGGTTTTGCTACTCTTAATGTCCAAACCCGGGACTTGGCATGGCGTGTCTTCACCAATGCCGAGATTAAGTTTTTCGAGTCGACATCTATAGGCTATCTGTCCTTTAAATTTTACAGCTAAATGCACTTACTATGTGAGGATAGTCGAAGAGTGGTCGAATTTTATACATGCCGCCATCCCGTCGTTTTCTATTAAAAACACCCATTTCAAATTTTTTGGATATCTGCCGAAGGCCCTAACGTCATGGCCAATATCCTCGGCAAGTTCAAATACTTCATTTATCCTTCCGAGTTCGTTCAATTTGAAGGAGCTGCAGCGAGGGTACCATTTCAAAATGATAAAAAAATCCGTTAACAGACTCCTTGATGCAAACACTAGGACGGTATCGTGCTCCGAGGTCCTCGAGCATTGCTCGTCCGCATATGAACACCCATGGACGCGGTCCTCTGCCCGCGAATAAACAGTCTTTTGGTTCGTAAAGACCTGCACAATTCTGTCGCGGACAATTAAGGTTTCGATAAACTTTCTAAGTCTCTCGCTGCTGTTCTCCACTGTTTCACTAGCGGCATCTGAGTCGGCGTCCTGAGTGCATCAGCCAGGTTGATAACCACTGTTTCCGGGCTCGCTACGCTCCCCGGTTCCTCCTGCGCAGACGCGGCAGCCGCTGGCAGTATAACGTCTACGAATGACGTAAAATCGAGCCGTTCGGCGCCGTTTGTTTCTGCCGTTGATGTTGGCGGGGCAGCATCAGCCAAGTTGATGGCCACTGTTTGCAGGCTCGCTAGGCGCCGCCGTTTCGCCTGCGCAGACGCGGCAGCCACAGGAGTGGACGGCCTGTCGCTATTTTCGGTAGATTCCAGTATAACGTCTACGAATGACGCGAAATCGAGCCGTTCGACACCGTTTGTTTCTTCCGTTGATGGTGGCGGGGCTGCATCAGCCAAGTTGATGGCCACTGTTTCCGGGCTCGCTACGCTCCTCGGTTTCTCCTGCGCAGACGCGGCCCGTATGACCTCGACGGCTCGACTATATCCAAGCTCTTGCGTATACCATAGGTTGAAGTGTACAATCCCTTCTCTAAACGTAGAAGGCGGTCCCTTATTCTTTTTAGCGCGCTGCTTATCTCTTTCGCGGAGACTTGTTCTTGCATTTCCCGGGTTACTTTTTCGGCCAGTTCCTCGCACTGGCTGAATTGTGGCCCCTTTTTCGGACGCCACAATTTCGGGTAGTCCCGAAGATGCCGGGAGAGTGCGTCGTGAAATTTGTGGTTAAAATTTGTCATGTGTTTACCTAAACGTATATGAAATAAATAAAATTCAATATAATTACCGTCTCGTTCATGCTTTTTCAATAAATTAATCAATGAAGCATGTAGTGTAGACGATAGAATTGGAATTATTGACTGACATTGAAAAATATAATTTTATTGTTCGAGGTATAAGGGGCGGCATTGTTCAATGCTCTAAAAGATATCCTTTAGCTAACAATAAATGTATAAGCGATTATGATCCTACTCAAGAATCAAATTATCTAATTTATTTAGATGTAAATAATTTGTACGGTTATGCTATGTCGCAATGTCTACGCCATAAAAATTTTGAATGGATGACAAATTTGGAAAATTTTAATTTAAATACAGTCAAAGATGACTCAGAAATAGGGTATATATTGGAAGTAGATTTAGAGTATCCATCTTCGTTACATGACTATCATAACGATCTACCTTTTAGTGCTGAAAATAAAAAAAATGCACACATGAAATGTAGCAAATTATTAACGGACTAAAATGATAAAACGCATTACGTAATACATTATCGCAACCTTCAACAATGCATTCGACATGGTGTTGTTTTGAGAAAAATATATAAAATTCTTAAATTCAATCAATCGGATTGGTTGAAAAAATACATTGATTTGAATAATTATCATAGAACGTTAGCTAAAAACTCTTGTGAACAGAATTTCTTCAAATTATTGAACAATGCTGTCTACGGCAAGACTATGGAAAATGTAGACAAAAGAAAAGTCATAAAAATAGTTTGCGAATGGGAGAATAGCGGTAGAAGATTGGGGGCGAGAAGTCTTATAGCTAAACCGAATTTTCATAGTTCACTCAAAATTTCTGATGAAATGATTATAATTGATATGAATAAGGTGCGAGTTGAGTACAATAAACCAATTTACATTGGTTTTACCGTCTTAGAAGTATCCAAATGGAAAATGTATAATTTCCATTATGATTATATGAAACCTAAATATAAGGAAAATATTAATCTAAATTATATGGATACTGATTCGTTCATCTATGACATTAGAACAAATGACTTGTGTGATGACATTCGAGATGATGTCAGCTATCATTTTGATACGTCTGCATATCCTAAGCAAAATATATTCAATGTCCCCCTAATGAATAAGAGAGTGTTAGGAATGATGAAAGATGAATGCAACGGAAAAATAATGAAGGAATTCATTGGTTTACGTCCAAAAATGTATTCCTTTAAAATCGATGAGAATGGAGAAGAAAGTAAGAAAATTAAAGGTGTAAAACATTGTGTTACAGCTAAGCTAACCGTTAATGATTTTAGAAATTGTCTATTTGAAAAACAATTGTATTATGATTCTATGTACGTTTTCCGATCAAAGATATACCAATTGTATACACAACATATTAATAAACTAGTTTTAAGCTACTTAGAGGATAAGAGATTTGTAAGAGAGAATGGTATTAATACCTATGCATGGGGACATTATAAAATAAAGAATACTAATGATGATAATTAAAAGAAACAAAAAAAAATTTTTTTCTTATTTATTTATTTATTTGTTTATATATTTATTGAAAAGGAATTTCAAGCATAAATGATGGGCGATTTTAAGTAATTGACTATTTCAATTGGCGGTTGTAGATTGCCAAAACTATCAAAATATTCTCTATAGTTGTATTTTTTATAGTAGGCTACCCAATGTGTTCCAGGGCCGTTTGAATTATCTAGATTAACAATACCCTATTCTTGTGCTAATGGCTTCTTAGGTGCTGGACGCAATAATAACAAAAACGAAATAATTTCGATTGTTGAGGAATTGCGAGAGGCCAACATAATTAAATGATAATAATAATGAGTTCTATAAATAAATTTGGAGACGGTTTAATTAATCGTCATCATTGTAACAATTCAAAGTTGAAGACAAATTTTTTGAAAACGCTTGGCATTACAGACCATGCTGTAACAAAAGCATATCTGCTAAGAAAAAATGCGTTAACAGATAGTGTAAACAATCTCACAACTACATACACTTCAACAACGAATCGCATTGAGCACGATATGAGACAATTTCAAAACTCATATGATTTACAAATGAATAGTATGAAAAAACAAATAGAAAAGAAATATGGTCTATGTTAAAGGTTAGGGTTTTCATCGGAATACAACTCTTGGATTAATATGGACAATATATCTTAATAATAAAAGCTATCAGAGACATTCTTAGACAATTTATTCACTCATCAGACGTTAAGATGTCAATAACAATAACCTTAAACGGGGACTCCTCGTTGCTTATTGCAAACTATTTTCCCGCAATTGAGCTCGATGAAAATTATGTTTGCGGACTAATAAGTTTCGATACGCATCATTCAATTCCAAATGTCGATCGGGAAAACAACTTATTTCATATTGGTAACCATCAAATCACTATTCCTATTGGTTCATATGAGTTTTTAAATCTTGATCATTATATCTTTAAACACAGCAGCGCGCGTTTGTAAACAAACAAGAGAGGGGGATATTATAATGAAAATAAATATATATATTTTGCTTCTTGTATTGAAAATAGTGATTGGTAATCCTATACCGTTTACTATTACTGCTCCTCAAGCAGATTCGAATTCAAAAACTGTAGAGTTCAATTTAACCCTACCCAACGATCATTACCTTTTGATACTCAGTAGTACGCTTTTCATGCTATTATTACGTTGACATAAATAAATAAATGCTGTTAAATAAATATTATGCTTTTTCAATATATACGGTGCCTACATTTCAGGAATGTACTTAAGTCTTTAATGCGGTTATCGCGAGGTAAAAATTTGTTAAAAAATTCTACGCCTTATGCAATTTTTCTTGGCAAGGCGATTCAAACAAATATGAAAGCGATAAGCTTTGGAAGAGATCCTTCAAAGAAACTAGAGCAAAATGAAACGGACTCTTAAGCCGCATTTTTCACGCAAAATACAAATTCTTTTAATGGTTATATTATGAAAGTTCTGCTATCTTAATTACTGGATAAAGCTTACCTAAAAATCGACTAACTTTGTCCGCTGAATGAGGATCGGAACTTGTAACTGCTACTACTGAGCCGACATAGAATTCCAGTATTTCGATTTGCGTCCGTCGATCGAGCATATCGATCCGCTAAAACTTTTCACGTATCGGATTACGCCATTCAATTTTGGGATCCGGTAAAAATTCTGGATAAATAAAACGCTCGCTCGGTTGGCGACGATGACGGCGTTTTTGGAGCACTTAATGAACCGGTTTTTTTTGTTTGTGGCAAAACTTTCGTTGAAAAGAAAGCTATAAAGAAATTACATAAATACGTTGAACCTAGTATTCGGCACATGTATACTACCAACTTTGTCGGCTGAATGAGGATCGGAACTTGTAACTGCTACTACTGAGCCGACATAGAATTCCAGTATTTCGATTTGCGTCCGTCGATCGAGCATATCGATCCGTTCCACCTTTTCACGTATCGGATTACGCCATTCAATTTTGCGATCCGGTAAAAATTCTGGATAAATAAAACGGCAATTAGCAGGTATAACAGGCTTGCGTGTGTCGGTTGCCGACGATGACGGCGTTTTTGGAGCACTTAATGAACCGGTTTTTTATGTTTGTGGCAAAACTTTCGTTGAAAAGAAAGCTATAAAGAAATTACATAAATACGTAGTATTCGGCACATGTATACTACCAACTGGTTGGAAAAGTTTATTGTGCTTAAAATACAAAGAACTCATTACTTTTTTTTGATTCAGCATTGTCTTAATAATTTTGTGTCACTTCTTTATTAGGAAATCAAATTTTTTTGGTTATAAGTCAGCTGATGATTGAACGATTGTCAAGTCTTATTTTCTACAATACAGAGATGTAACATTTCGTATGTTAGTGAATGTTAGTAAATACATTGTTTCCTAACATTGCCAAATATACGTTAAAAAGATTCTCTTTAGTATAATAGGTTACTCCTGTAAATATTATTTGTTGTCAATAAATGAAAAAGATTTGTATTGGGATGTATTAGGTGCTTGCATATATATTTTGGCCATTTTTTCTCTTGAAAACGGCATTTATTCAGAAAACTTGGCACAACATAATCAAAATATTTTCAATGCGGAAAGAACAACAATAGTTTGGCAACGACTCAATCACCGGTCCATTTTTACGCCTATTCAGCATTTCGAAAACGCGTGCCAGTTAAGCCACGTTGCATCGACCACGTTGTTTCGCCTGATCGATCTAATCGATTCTAATTGACACATGGATAATCCTTTCATTTTTGTTTATTATATTTAGGTATATAAACTTTTCTTATCGATATTGAAATGTTTATAAACAAGCAGGTATATCAGATAGTTTTGGTAAAAGAGAATTGCTTTTCAATAAACATGCGTCGATTACATTACTCGCTAAGGAAAAGATTTGCAAACAATTGATTGGTTGTGACCCGCGGCCAAAAAAAGTCTGCCTACCTATACATATAGAGTTTTCTTCAGATAATCAAACATGATTTTTTTTTTGTTTTTCTTATATAAATTTATTGACAAATATTTGTAAAAAAATTTGTACAAGTTATTGCGTTTTTGAATGCTGTGGTAATAAAACTCTCGACTTCAGTTTGGCAAAATCATGTGTATTGGTGGCGTTGCTCTACTACCCTTTTTGCCACTTGGCCGACACAAGTGTAGAGGTGGGCAATCTTTCTTTTGTCCTATTGTTTGAGTGTCATATATTTTCATATATATTGTAATTATATATAGCTAGAAAGCTAGTTTACTGAATGGGAGTGTTGAAAAGCACAGTTCGTCCGCACTGCTGGATGATGACAGTAGTTATTTGAATATGCAGCGGAGCGAATCGGTGCCTATCGTTAGTGGTGGTCGCTCGGGCGCTGCAAAGAAGCGCGAAGCAAAAAAACGATTCTACAGTTACACCTGCTGCTTCTGCTCCTGTGCTGGCCGCAGCTAGCAGGTCAGTGCGTGCGGAAGAACGGAGTGTTGCTGCTACGTCGTTGGATAAGGTGGAGGCTACATTCAATCGCTATCAAAAATGCGTTGTCTCCCCGGACAATGTGTCGATTGAGACTGCCGATGACCTCTTTGACTTACTGTCTCAATATGACAGACACCTGCCTCAGAAGTCGCATAGAAGGCTTAGAGACAAGCGGTGGATGTTTTCCCATAGATGCTTGCTTTGGGCGGGGAAAGGGGGGGGGGGGGTGGTTCCAACAATGTCAGCGGCTGCACCACGAGAATCAGTGGAAACCTGGTCAGTGGTTTTCGATAGTAAAAATACTGCGGACACACCTAAGGTAGTTGCAGAAAAGGTTGGGACGTTGACGTTATGGTTCACAGTATTAAACATATGACTAGTGGAGCGCCAGTGGTCCGTACGCCATCTGTTGCGGTGTGGTAAAAAATTATTCCCTTATCGCGAAAAGTTTGACGTGAAGAGTCGATTGTAATCTCTCTGTACTCCTGAGACCGCAGTTGCATTGCGCGTTTGTATCTGGTGTTTTCCTCAAGCGGTGGCTTATTCGACAAGGCTTTGGCAGCTCTTTCTAAACTCTGCTTTGACTGGTTTATCCCCAGTTTATTTACACTGTCACTGACTAACTGAGGGAGAGCCATATAGTGCTAGTCTTGCTAGATAATATGAGCTTTGCTCACATATTTCCTTAAGGGCATTGTTTCCGTTATTAAAGGAAAGTGGTCGGGATAGGCCTCCTGAGAATACGATCTTTATGCGTATTGTATTGATTAGTATTTTTTCTCTGCAGGTTCATCTGCAGTTTTTATCCCATACCGAGATTGTGGCCGTATGGGACCTGATGCGAAATCAAAGGCTATTATCAATTTTTCTTTCATCAGTTTCTTATTTCTAATATCGCGAGTATCAGGATTCCCCAAAGCAATATCCAGCTTTGGCCTGACAGTGGGAATAGCCCATTGCGGAGGTTTCGTTGCAGCTGTCGTTGGCTCAACGAGAATAGTCTCGGCTCGGTGTGGAATTACGTAGCAACCGGGTGTGTAACCTAAAGAAAGGCAGAAGTTTTAGGTAGGCCTCGTTCTCACCCCGGAAGGAGATATGCCCATATAAGGATCTCCACGGGAACACGGCGATTTATCACCATTGTGGCGCTGAGTATGGGCTTCGTACTTTGTGTGCCATCGGGCACCGTGGGGCTAAGCAGTTATTATGGGAACAGTTGCGGAGACTAGCAGTCCAACACTCTGTGCTCCTCTTAAAAAGGATTAGAACTTCGATGACAGATAGACTAGCATAGATGGAGCTTCTTTAATTTAGAGAACATGAAATACCACAACCTGTGTTATTTCTCAGAACGAGCAACCCGAGTGAAATAGAGAAACTTGTTATTTGATTCGCAACAACAGGAACGATATACCGTGTGACCGCGCCAGCCAAGCGGGTTTTCTCTGCGTGTGTTCCTGTTTCTTGTTTTCCTGTCTTTTCCTCTGTTCGCATTACAGTAGTAGTGTATAGTGAGATAGCGTTCATAAAATGGACCTACTTTGCCCAAATTCGGGACAGTTAATTGTCAAGTATGTCAAGTTATTATTGTGGTTCTATTCTTACTGTAAAATATTATAAAACTAGTGCATGTTGCTTAGTTATAATGGCAACAGTTATATGAAATGGAGTTCAAGAGTTGACTAATTCCAACCAAATGTTTCTCATTACTTTAAAAAAGCGAATCCTAATAGTTTTTCTCGAGACACTGGGAGTGTTTGTAAAAACGGATCGATCTAACTAATTTTTAATAGTGTTTGCTGAACCAAAAAGCACCAGAACATGTTCGTGTGTGCCAAATTTCTTTAAAATATCTGAAAAATGTCGATTTGCATACATCAACACATGGACAAATATCGTCCAGGCAGACGGACACAGCCAAGTTTAACCCGATTAAGAAAATGATTTTAAATCGATCGGTCTAATAGAACGTGGACTTACTTTGGGTCCTTCTGGGAATTCCATACATTTCGCAAAAAGAATACAAACAATGAGAAATTTTATGTTAAAAGAAAGAAAGTAAGCTTTTGCGATATATTTTGTTTACTGTTTTGGTAGGAAACCGATTTGCAGCGTTGACTACTTCCAAAGTAAACAAAGCAAGCTATTAATTAATAATAAATTGAGAGGTAAATAACGACAAGTAATGTTCGGTACATGGAGCATAATAGAGATGAATTAAAGATTCGTCGCACAAAATCTCCTACAATCTCCCCAAAACACTCTAATTAAGAAGCTAATATGAACAGAGCATAACATAATTGATAATAAACTTCTCTTTAATTTTTTGAACACAGTTGCTTATGCTATTCTCTACACTTCCTTCAAACCGCTTTCACTAGGCATTTCCGGTTACTATTGACTGAATAGCTATGAGTAGAATTTTTGAGCAGATAATGAATTAATTTACGTTTAATTTCTTTACGAAATATTTGTAAGATGATGCCCAACTAAATTTAAATAGAAAATTAATTGTTAGTTTTTTTGTTATTTTTCCCTTTTTTCACTTCATCATCAGTTTGGCCTTCGGTATGGTATGCGAGTATTTACTTAAGCAGTTCGTAAAAAGGAAAAGAGAAAATATATATAAAATAAAAAAGCAAACATTGTTATTACGAATGTTAAGTCGTTACTTACACACGTTTAATACCTGCAGCTATAACAAGTAAAAAGGAAAATATTGGTCAGTGGTGGCATAGAGAAAGTTTAACTGTCAATCATGATTAAAGGCGTCATCAACAAAAAAAGTACTGAATCCTAGCACAGTTAGTTAGTTTAAACGCTACGAATACTAATATTGTAGAGAAAGTTATTAGAAATAAAACAAAAAAAAAACTAACAGTGAAATAAAACTTTTTAAACAGCTGATGCTGTTCAAAAGCTCAACGAAGGTTAAGAGGTAAAAAGAATTTCAAAAATCCCAATATTCCTTAGAAAGAGAGTGAGAGAGAGATAGACAGAGAGAGAGAGAGAGAATGGAAAGCGGCAGAGTAATAAATGTGAAAAGCGCAGGACTCTACAATAGCTGTAGAAAATTTTTATTTATTTATTTATTTTTTTTTTTTTGTTAAATAGCAAAAGTTCTTAATAATCAAATAAATTTAATAAAATTAAAAAAAAAATTTTTATCAGATAAAATACTTATAATATTTATAAAAGAAAATAATTTAAATTGATTTAAATATTTTTATCTAAGAATTTCTTGGGAAATTGGTTTTGATTCTTTAAGATTTCTTTCTTCTTACTTCTTAAAGGTAAATTTTTTTACATGTTTTTGTTTGTTAGGTGTTTTTGTCAAGATTGTTGCATTTGACCGTTTAAGCTCTTTCTCAATAGTTTGTGGTGCTTAAGTTGTTTCCTATATAAATATATTTATATTGTATATATATATATATATATATATATATATATGCATACTGTCAACAAATAACAACAACATTGCATTACTACAACTACAACGATGACAATTTTCATTAAAGTTTTGTTGAATTTGGCCCATATTGTGGTAGAGTTTTTGTTGTGCAAGTATTTGTATGTGTACGAGTTTGTTAACGATTGAGGCGAATCGAAGTTGTCGAGTCGGGACCAGACGAGTTCACTTGGGTTTAGTTGAATTTCGAACACTGAACTGTTAAGTTGAAGACGTTAACGTAACGCATTGCGCATCCTTAACAAAAAAAAAAAAAAAAAACCGAAAAAGTTTATCTCAGCAAAACCCATTTAACTACGAACAAGCTAAGGATAGTATGGAAAATGCAGACTAAAGCATAAATCACGTAATCTAGTGAATAACACGAAAGCAAAGATAAAAAAAAAAATAAATAAATAAAAAAGTGTCTCGAAGATTTTTAAATAAATAAGAACGACAACAATAACAACAACAGCAACCACGAAACAGTGTCGTCTTATATCTATAAAACCTCAACGAGAAATTAAGAAAACATGAAATCGAAAAGTGACATATATATATATATATATATATACACATACATACATACATAAATACATACATATCTACCTTTCTAAATGTGTCCTATGTAATCAATGCCAAGTGTACACGAATTTCAATTTAAAGTTAAAGTAAACCATCATCGCATGCATACCTAAATATATGCTTGATGGTGTAAGTAAATAAGTAAGCGTCAGTGTACGTGTATAGTGCTGCCTGTGCCTGCACGTACGAGCACCGGGAATAGTAAGTCTATCGTGCGATTTTATACATATTTATAAAACAGAATCGAAATTGAAAATTAAATAAAATATTCATTAAAGAAGTAAAAACAAAAAAGCAGAATTTTTGTGTATAAAAAAAAAAAAATTGAATTTATTTTAAAAAGAAAAATTTGAAAGCAAAAATGTAGACATACATTAACCAACCAACCAATGATCATAACTATCGGTGATATAATTAAAAAAAAAAAAATTTTAATTCCCTTTGGTGTCAAGTTTAACTTTACAAATGTGGCCACAATAACGAAAAACAAAATGTTGCAAATTTTGCGAAATTTCGGTAAGTTTTCTTAAACAACAACAACAACAAGAAGTTTATAAAAACATTTTTGTAACCTTCTTTTTTAACCAACTCTTTTTAATATAACTTTCACTTTAAACAAAAACAACTTGTAGTCAGTTCATATTCATCTTACATTACTTTGACTTAATTCAAGGTTTACCTTAATTAGCTACAGCATTAAAATAACAGACATACAAGTCCTTTATAATTAAAACGTACTCAAATAAGAAAACAAAACATATAATAATAGTAGCTAGTGTAAGCAGACTTGAGTAACACTATTGTGTTACCATTGTATACAAAAAAAGTGCTGTAATGGCTTTGTGTGAAAATGACGAGAAAAAAAAAAAAACAGAACACAAACAAAGGGACCACAATTCATTAAGTTCCATTATAAGCCGTTTTATCTAAACTCTGAGTAAGGACATAGTGTATATAGAGTCTTTTTTACATAAATGTTTATAAAAACAATATTTGTCAAATAACGTACAATTAATTATATTCAAAAATCGTGATTACATGCAGTAAGCAAAGTTTATAAAAAAAGACTTTAGTATGCTTCAAAAGTGTGCATCTAAAATTTTCTTGTATCAACAGATGTTTGAACTGACTTAAGTAATAAAGGAAATTCAGATAAAACTATCAAATCAAAGCTTTTCCGCGACCATAAACTTAGTTCCTCCGTTGCTTAATAATTCCATCATTTCATTTTTCGTCGGCTAAGTTCCGAAAACTAGTAGGACGGAACGTATAACGCTTGTCTGGCTTTAACAATCTTATGAAACCAGAAATATTTTACTTACTATTGCTTGAATGTCAAAGTATCCCTATCGTTACGTTATGCAGCTATGCGTTGCTTATCAAACAACGTCCACCTCAAGTTAAGTGAACTATGCTTATGCATGTTATGATAGGAGTATTGATTTTATTAACTGTGCCTGTGATATCTAGGTAAACTTTTTTTGTTATGCGAAATGAATGCAAGGCCTCATAGAAAGCGGCGAAAATTCATCTAAAAGAAAATTTCATCTTCTTACGGGCTAAAGACATTGTATGTGACAAACTAGTGTAACAAGTTTTGGATTTAATGCAACTCATATTAACTTCTCTGCCAAGACCATTTATTTTATTTGAGGACGTTCTTTTAAGAATAAAGCGCCGCTATAGCCATTGCGGACTTGGAAAGAGAATATCGATCAAATATGTGTCGGCAAGATGAAGCCACTTGACCGTTCAAAAATTTTTTCCGTAAGGGAATTTCGTCAAAAATGAAATGTATGTCGCTATCTTTTGAAAAAAGAAATGAGACTATATTTTGGCTGCTGTCAGGACGTGATTGTTGGTGCTTTAATTTGGAAACATTCCTTACTATAAGTACTACAAGTACTCTATGTACTACTAGTTATTGAGGGACTTAAGTAAGAAAGCCGAACCAAGGTTGTTTAATACATGAATTTTTTTTTGCAATGGATTTTTTACTTACATTAGTGTTTGTCACTAAGAAAGTGAACAAAAAAGTTCATTGTAATATTGACCAACAAGAAGGCAGACAAGTTTCCCGACGAGAAATTCCTAGAGAAAAAAAGTCTGTCTCAATAGTCATTGAATACTTAAGAAGAAATTTAATGAAATATTGCTTAGCATCTCTCTTTTTTTGGGAAGTTTTTTTACAAACGAAGTGTACACTCAATCAGGTTTACATCCAAAATCGCCTCTATATGCATCACAATGAGGAGTGTTCTTAAGTAGTGTACGTTAGTCATCTCTAACTCTCGGAAAACCTATTCTGCGACATGAACAATCTCCCTTGGTAATTTTGTCTATATATCAGGAGGACATCCGCTCTAGACATCTTAAATCTTTTTTAACTGCTGATGACATGTCACATTCAAAAATATCAACAACGATATCAAATAATTATTATTATCAGTTAAACACTTAAAAAATGCCGATTCATTTTAAGGTCTCACATCTTAGAACTCACAAAATGATTCAAATTATTTTGAGATCTCATGTCAATAAGTATTTCTTAGAAATCACTAGAAAGAAAACTTAATGAAATCGAAAGTAGAAAGTTTATCTGCAAAGCCGAAACATGGAGCGGGTAACTTTTGAATTGTAGAGGAACTTTAAAGCACACTATCACAGTATTTGCGACGGAATTTAAAGACAAAAAATGAAGACTAATGTTTAACGATTAACGCTGTACATAACGCCAAGCGGCTTATTTGGGCGGTTCAGTTTGCGGACCTAATTTCTAAGTGAAAATCTTTCTTTACCTTATATTAATTAAATTTTATTACTCAAAATTTGCGAACCACATCTTCACGCATCAGTGCTTAACGACAACTGCTCTTATCATTCTTGCGTTCGCATTTTTCTTGCTAAAAACCACGCAATTTCAAGGTCACCAAAATAGAAGAATCAAACACATAATTCATTAGGTTGCGAAAAGAATAGAAGCTTGGAAGGGGCCCGAAACGAAGACAATGCGATATCTACAGTTTCTATCCCATCCTTTAGGAAAGATGGAGAAAACAGGTGAAAGAAATTCCTTTTCGTAACAGAAGCAATACAATCCGAGAAATTTTTGAGTAAACAAGAAGCTTATGCAGTTGATAGAAAACGATTTTTTGCTTACGTTGCGAGCGTGAAAAATTGCAGAAAAAATATTCACGGGTTCAAATATCAGTGTGGTACAGTTTACTTGATTAAGGCTATCTCCCTATGACTTTTCCTTTCTTTTGCACTTTCCGGCCGTTACCGTGTTACACGCCTGACTAATTAGTGACATCACAAAAAAAAATATATATATATATGACATCGGATGTAGGATGCACTCACGTTTAAGAGCATCTGGCCACCATCGGTGAATCTCCAGGCAAGACCTTGAACCTTGTAGCTTTAATTGATCATATTAAATAAACAAAAAAAAAAAAGAAAAAATTTGCGAACAAAATTACTTTTGAGACCGTGTAATATCCACACAGTAGTTGGCGATTGACGACTTTATGACTTTTGGTATTCCGCAACAATTATGTTGCTTGGATATGAGTTCCGCGTAACCTTTTTCAATTTATTAAACTCAGAATCATTCAGAAGAAGGGAAAAGGACACATTCTAAGTAACATAAACAGGAATAAAATGGAATTGTAATTGGAGCTCAAACCGAGTTTCTTAAGACCAAAAACATATTAAAACAAGTTCTGGTTCAAGTTCGAGTTGTCGGCAAGAGTAGCCGAGTAGGTAAGAATCGCGATTAACAAGTCAGTAATCGCGTATTTAATTCTCAGTTCGATCGACTTTACTTTAGTGTTCGGTCGGTAAAGGCCTAATATTTACAGATCGGACACACACATCACCCAACCCAGGTTGCGGTTGCCTCCCTATATCGTTCCCTTTCTTCACTTCTTCTCCCTGGCCGTCATCGTGTTACCCCTGAGTGATTAATCATTAAAAAAAGTAAAAACATGTAAAAGCAATTGTGTTAGCAATTGAACGGGAAGATTATATTGCATAGGATGGGGCATCTATTGAAGATTAAATAAATACTTTTTAAAAGAATAAGAAATTCTTCTTCTTTCCGAAGCATAAAGCTTTAATTATTATTATTTTTAATTAATTTTGCAAATTTTCAATTTCACTAAGGCAGATACGAAAGGAGCTAAAAAAATGGACTGACTTGGACTCAACGTTTAGGCTGACGTTATCATTACGTTGCGTACTGTTTAAATGTTGGAAAAGTACTAACAAAATTTCTACATTCCCTATTTAAAATTAGGGGAATACAACGATAGTTAGTCAAAACAAACTAAAGTTTACAAGTCTTTACAATGTTAGCATAGTAAATTTAATTTCGTATATTTTGTAAGTAAACATAGCCGTTTTACTTACATGCACATACGTATGGCTCTATGGAATAAAACATATCTATAGATAAAATATTTGTACATATATATATATACTTACGTTTGTTTATCTTTTTGTTGAATAGCTCTTGAAGCTCTCGTTGGGTTAAGTAAATTTCTCTCTTAATTAAATAGAAATATGTTTGTAAAATTCAATTTTCTCTCTTATGTGTGTGTGCATAGGTGTATGTGTGTTTATATATGTTGAATTAATAGTATTTGATAATCGTATTAGTTTAATAAATACATTGAAAATGAACAACTAATAGTAATTATGACGATGATCATGATGATGACAATGATGATTACGTATATAAGAGATGTTTTATTATAGTTTTTAGAATTTTGTACTTACTTTTTAATAAAATAAAATATTTAAGTAAATACAAATGTAAAAACGTTATTCGATATTTGACGTAAATGTTCATCATTCGTTTACAAAACAACCTCAAAGTAATATCTGAATAATTAATACAAAGAAAGAATATGTAGATTTTTGAAACTAATGGTCACTGAGTGATGAGTATACATATATACACACACAAATATATATATATATATATATGAATATTTTTGCAAATAAAAGTTGTTTTGAATATAATATATGTATGTGTATTCAGTGACTTGGGGATTCAAAGAAAAGTCAGGAATTACATTCGTTAGCTGTCATCTATCTATCCAAAGCTAAATACTAAGACTAAGAGAAAATAATTTGCAATGACTCTTAAAGCATTACACTTTGTAGATGAATAGATGGCACTTTTCTTTGCAAAAGAATCATATCATGCACAATACATAGTTCTCAGTAATGGTAAAAGAGAATTTTAAATTTTTTAAAACCTTTTAAGCAAAATAAAGACATGTAATGTGGATCTGTGTTTAAAGTATAATATGTGTATATAATATATATCTTCGCTCTCTATACGAGTATATATCAAATCTGCTAAAATACATTTGATTTGTGGCCACACGGATGGCTTCGGGATTTATGAAAGAATCCATTAAATTTATTCGCTCTAAAGCTTTAAAAAGGCGCGACGCACATACACAGAACTGCTTTTGAAAATGATTGTCAATAAAAACCAATAT